TTCACAACCCTCTGCCAGGGGACATTCTGATCGTGGAAGAAGTATTGGTCTGGATTGGCACGATCGAACGTGGGGAGGTGTTTGAGACATACGCCAACCTGTCTTGCACGTTTGGGGAAGTCGAGGAGCAGGGCAATGTGTCCGTAGCTGGTGACTTTGCCATAGGGAATCTGCTGGATGGCTGAGTATACAGCTTCGTACCACCACTGGGCCTCCTCCGATTTCTCTCGAGGCATGACTGTAGAGGGAGAGTTCGACAGTAATTGTAGGGGTGGGTGTTGGACGAACGAATCAAAGCTTCTTCTGAGTGGATGGGACTTGGAAATCCGAGATGCGAGAGGGGGATGCCGCGTGCATGGATCCAGGACCCTTGCCAATCAGGCTTGTCCAGGCTAGCAAACATCCCGCTTCCCTGCGCTGTGATGCTTTTGTTTATTTTCCCTCTTCGGGAGCGTATGTGTTTGGCCTACCAAAATAAATCTCTAGAATCGAAGTCTGTGTTGTGTTGCCTCCCACTTCCCAGTGGTACTGGCAGAATCATCTGACCACCTCTGATCACCTCTATTCTGGCCTCGCACTCTCCTGCCTCTTTACCTCTAAAATGGCATTCCGCGGTACAGAAAGTTTCATGGATTTTGAATGGCAAGGCCATGGTCCTCTTGATCCCACCTCTCCCTATCACAAACGTGTTGTCGAGATGCAGGCCAAAAAGCGTAAGTTGCGCTGTCCTCTCTCAGTGTTGCTGTACTGATGGTAGCAGGAACTCATAGCGAGTTCGGGTCTCCTGAGAAACCAGCAATGCCAGCGCTCCGCGAACCCAACAACCAGCCCTTTTTCTTCTCAGACGCTCCGGCGCCGCCACCTGAGTCGTCCCCCTTTCGAAATCCCTCCTTCACAACCCCGCGAAAACCATTCGACATTGACTTTTCATCCCCTCCTGAGAATTCCTCGCCTCTGGCAGCGACCGAGAATGAGGACACCCCAGATGCAACTCCGCTTCCCATCGAGTTCAAAAGCAGCCCCTCAAGAACGGAGAACAAGCGAAACTCATTGTTTGGATTGTACGGCAGATTTGCACCAAGCCCGGGGAGAGGAGAGATCAGGAAACCTACGAGTGATGCTGTCGCGAGACGAATCCACAAGAAGCGCCGGCGCGCTCAGCAATTTGACAGACAACTGGTGGTCGGGAGAAAGGGCTCTTTAGACGATAGTGACGACGAGAGTGCCCCCAGTCCAACCGAACCAGAGTCTAAAAAGCCGCCCGTGGAAGAAGTAGGATGGATCACTGGTCTGTTCACCTTCATCCACACATATCCTGACGCACCTTCTATTATCGCCAAATACCTTCAAGTTTTCTTCAATGCCGCAATCCTCGGCGGTTGTCTGTATATGTTTTGGGCATTCTACGCTACGATCCAAGCAGATGTAGACCGTGCCAGCGAGGATGCAATGGCCGAAGTGCTGGCGGAAATGGCGGCCTGCTCCAAGAACTTCATTGAAAATCGATGTGCCGCCGATACCCGGCTACCAGCCTTGGAAGCTGTGTGCAGCAATTGGGAGTTGTGCATGAAGCGGGATCCTAGTGCTGTGAAACGGGCGAGATTGAGTGCACATACATTCGCCGAAATCTTCAATAGCTTCGTCGAGCCCATCAGCTTAAAAACCATGATCTTCACCATCACACTGGTTGTGGTGGGCTTGGTGGTCAACAATGCGACATTTACCCTATATCGACGACAACAAGAGAACCAAAATATCTATCGAGCGCCCTCTGGAGCATACGTGCATCCTCATCAACATTCTGCACACATGGGGCAATTTACACTCCCTCCGGCTGCATCGTATGCACAACAGCCTTATGTGGGCTGGCACGGCGACCCTGGTTTCGTCGGGCAGCAACAGCTGGAATATCCTCGAAGCCCTAGCAAAGAGCATCGAGCACGAAGCAGAAGTCCAGAGAAGAAGAGAATTCAAATTTGAAAGTGTACAATTGTTTCGACGAGTCACGGATTGGTGTTTGGATATTGGATATTGTCTAGCGATGGGGGTGTTGGATGGCGATCTGCTGATTGTGGACGGAAAGTGAACAAGGGAATAAGTTGCGCAGCAAGCATAGTGCCGACGCTTCGAGGAAAGTTCTCTTCCCCTGGGTGTTGAGTTGAGGAAGCGGACTGGCGGAGAAGAGTGTGGGCAACATTGCGTACCCCTTTCTTTGATGCTGATCAAAACACGGACTCTTGACACATGACTGGTTGGATTTGAGCCGTGAGGTCTCACCAAACGACTGGCCTCCTTTACCCGATAAAACTCTCAGGCATCACGTTCTGAGTTTGTGCTTCACCGTCCTTGTTCTTGTCGATAAAGAGAGCGCAAGCTCTTCGGAGGTCACGACTTTATGCGATAGTGGTGTTATGTCGTTGTGCGACTCACTCCTGCGTGGCAAATTGGAACCTATCGTGATTGTGGGAACCAGCCAGCCACAGCTTAGCTCTGTACATATATACATATACATATGCATACGCGTACTCTGTCTGTCTGCCAGGGTTTGGTTCCCTGGGCCCTCTTTATTCATTGAAGCATTTAAGACCTTTGTAGCAGCTGGTCCTTAGAACCTAGCACCTAGCACCCAACCCTCTCCACAAAGACGGACATTTCTCGCTTCGTGTATCCCTTCTCCTTCCTCGGCCACTGGATATCAGTCTTTCTTGCTGGATTGAGCCTTGAGCAATTTGGCAAAGGGGAACAAGGATGCCATCAACATGTCCTGATGAAATCATGTCCCATCGACCGTCAGTAAGTATGTAGTCGAATTTGAAAATAACGATGAAGACAAGAAAAGATTGATTGAAACAAATATGGGAACAAGGATGGGAAGAGACTCACCATTAGGAAATCCGGCAACAGCCATGCAGCGAAGCGAGCAGACGCCGCTCCTCCACCGACCCAGTATTTTCCCGTCCTGCCTTTGTTGACCTGCGCGACGACTTTGTTTCCAAACTCCTCGGCCGTGATGCCGTCCTTTTGCAGTCTGCCGTCGCACAGCTCTTCAATGTACCCCTGCAGCCCGCGGTAGTACGAAGTCTCGGGGATTTTGGGGGGTGTCATGTTGACGAAGCCGTTGGATTTGACGGCCGAGGTCACCAGCGTCAGGGTGCGGACGCCCAGGGGCGCGAGCTCGAGACGCCACGTTTCGCTGCCGAGGAGGGCCGCGGCCTTGGAGCTGTTGTAGATGCTGCCAAAGGCGCCGAAGGGGACGACGCCGCTCACCGAGGTGTTGTTCACGACGCAGCCCCGGGCTTTGATCAGCAGCGGCGCGAACGCCTGGATCATGGCCAGCACGGCCCAGTAGTTGATGTCGAACAGCTTCTTGGCCTCGGTGATCGACGTGTCCAGCGCCGGCATCACCATTACCTGGCCGCTGTTGTTGACTAGGACATCGAGCGTGCCGCCGGTGACGGTGGAGACGCTTTCGACAGCGGCGGCGATCGATTCGGAAGACAGGACGTCGAGGGTCAGGACCGAGACGTTTGGCGCTTGAGCGAGCGACTGTGAGATCTTGGAAGGTGTTCGTGCCGTCGCGAAGACGTGATAGCCATTGTCATGGAAGGCCTTAGCCAAACCTCCACCGATTCCACCGGCAGAGCAGCCGGTGATGAGGACTGACTTGAGACCTAGAGCCATGAGAGGAGCAAAGACAGGAAATTTCGTAGCTTGATGCTCTTCAGAGTTTCGATTCCGTGACTGATGAAGGTCGTTCCCGTCTCAGACCAGACAGAGTAGAGCGAGGATGGTGCCGTGCTAACAGTGGGAGTAGCATTACCTTTATACCTGGTGATATGGAGTCTGCGGTCAAAAACAAAGCCGGTCGCCCGTTAAAAGCACTCGTAACTCCGCGAGCATTGGACAACTGACTAGATAGTGGTTGGAATGCTTCAAGCCTTGTAGGACTATTTCCTGAAAGGGAAAACAATCGATATCTTGGCGGCCAAGAGTGGACGTATTCGTGGCACCGGTGGGACTTAAGGCACTGCAACTCCACCCACTCGCACTTCGACGCTCGGTGGATCAGTGTGCCCATCCAGTTTCCCATCGCACCTCTCCGGATTCGTCTTCTAGACCTCAAGTCATCATTGACAGCGCCACCATTATTCCCATCTTCTGCATACGTGGATGATCCTATAGAAGTATCAACTTAATCCGGATCGCATTGGTCATTGATAAACCTCAAGGTGTCTCAAATTTGAGAGATGCTCAATGTCAACTGGTCAATGCTGTTCGATAGCAAGGCTACATAGCTGAAGTGCGTACTCGGGATAACACTCGCTTCCCATACGAAGTTGCTTCGACCTCAGTATTACGAAACACTCCCCCGTCTCGAACCACAGGTCAGGACACTCGTTCCTGGTCCAGCTCCACGGCGAGCTCTCTGGCGGACTTGAATGCCTGAGTCCAACATTTGTCAATAATATGGCCCAACCACATATCTCTGGTTGATGGAAGACTGTCTCGTGGTGGAGAAGAGTACAAATCCTCAGGTTCCTTCCGGTTTAGGGTCAGATCGAATTTGCATCTGACTGCGCGTACTATATCTATATCGTTAGTAATGTAACCCAGCCTAGTGTAATCGCCTTATTCCCCTATACCCCTTTCTCAACCTTAAGGTTCTATCTTCTTTATCTACCCCCAATATGTTAACTTCGCAGCCATTCAAAAAACGAAACCAAGCCGGCAAATGACAAAATAATAGAATACTTAACGTACTCGTTGTACTCGAGACGTGTAAACCGTCATCCGTGAGACTTCAATCTTGTCTTGGGCGCGTGTACTTTCTCGGCATGCAGCGATAAACGGATCAGGCTGAAATGAGCATTGATAATCAATGTTTCTTGTCCAAAGATACGTAGGACTGCCGCACAAGTAATGATCATCGTCTACCGTGTGAGCTCCGCGCGAGCTTTCGAAATCTCGCTCGCTAGCTTTTGATGAGCATCGCATTGGTACTACTGACCAAAGTCGGGCACGCCTCTGCGGTCGACAGATCTTGCAGCTGGAGTCGTGAGGGGAGGTCGATAGACCCTGGCCTGGCCGAAGTCATGCCATATAATTCGTCCCGTCATTGGATCCCACAGCATATTCCGTCGTGCCACATCATGATGCAGAATTCCCAGTTTGTGAATGGCACGCAAGCCATCAATGGCCGTATCAGTGGTAGCTGGCGTCTTGCGAAGATGATTTAAGGAATATCCCCCAAAGGACAAAACCATCAAGTGCACAATCGACACTGACCCCGCATACTGGAGCGGTCGATCCAGAGTGTAGCTCCCGAGATACACCGGTACATGTATTCCTTGGATCGACCTTAGCTTGCTATAGATCTTTGCTTCGTGTTGGAGATCCATCACAAATTCGGGACGTGTGCCCTTGGCCACCACGGTGTAACCCCAGTGAGGAAGACGTAGGCGGTACAAGACACCTCTCGCACCCCACAAATAGAGTTCTTCGCAGTATTCGAGATCTTTCCGCAGTATTTGTCGCACCAGACGCCGGAATCCTTGTATACGGAGTTGGTGCTTGGGACTGCAGCTATGTAGGTGTGCGTTCGGACACGACAAATCCAGATCACCATTCTCCACCAGTCCTTTGAGACACAAAGCCGAGCAATACGGCCCCAGCTCCCGCTGTCGGTGAGACCGGTGGGTTGAGGGTGATGGCTCGTCATCAGCGGTCGCGCGTCCACGGCGGAGCCCTCCCTGTGCCCTAACCCGCTGGAGATCTGTGGGAGGGCGGCTAGGTGTCTGGCCATGACCCCTGCCGCCGTTGTCGCTACTGTCATCCTCACTTATAGCTCCTCGTCTGGCGATGTGCTCTTCGTCATTTATCATCACAGGCTCCCGGGGATGTAGTCGACGACGAATGGGTGAATCCCGCAGATATTGCGCCGATTCCCCTTGGGGTGGCCGATATTCCGACCCGGGAACTTTTTCGTCCGGTATATCCTCTTGTAGTTTCCGCAGACAGACCTGCCATGTCTCGAGTCGCGCTTCGGCCACCCGCTGCCAGTGCAGGTCGCGACGCGGGCTTTGAATCGCTCTCAATGTGAAAGCGAGGAGCTGGCCGATAGCGGTCAAATGCAAACGGTTATCATGTTCGAATCCCTAGGTCCAGCCGTTCGTGGGACCTACGTCGCCTTGCGGCACCGCGAGAGCGTACTGCAAGCACGAGTAGTCGTCCTCCGGGACACGGAGAAAGGTCAAAGCTTCTCCGGTAAAGACGCAGCCAAACTCTAACCGCGCCGCGATCATGCACGTAAAGGCTTGGGTTAAAACTGCGGCTACGAGCCTTTGACATCGTCGCGGGATATCCTCGTCAAGATTTTCTTGTACGATATCATCCAGATCTATCTCGTTCAACCCGGTATAGGTATGTCCCAGAGTCAGCTTATGTGCCGCCTTGTACTCCATAATTAACACCGGGGTTCGATGAATTACGTCGCCGGCATCATTAGTAATCCTATATACGCAAAATTGGTCGGCGCGAGGTATAGCGATCCGAGATGGCCTTGGCGGGGGGATCGCGTGTCTAATGATGTCAGGTGAGATTGTTCTCGCAGTCGCGGCGACCGATATCGCGGCTGCGGTCGGGAGATGGTCAAATTGGTTAGGTTCGTCGAAGGGTCGACAGGAGTTAACATGTTCCTATGATTCTCAAATCTGATGGTCCCCTGAAGATTAAGAGATTGTTGGAGAACTGCATGCTGGGAGAGGTGCTCGATGATCGAGGTCACCCGGTCGCTGATCGTAAATTGAACAAAGTATTCAAGGTCTAACTCGGAGCTGAGTTGCCGCCGGAGTAGCTGTTCCCCGTTTTCTTCCAACGCATGTCGAGAGGTAAAGTGTCTCTCCAGGACAAAATCCGACTCCATCAACACGTTCCATATATTCACCTGATGCGCAGGAAAGTCGGTCCAGGGCACGATACGACGAGGGCGAAGCTTTCGATCGGCATTGACGGGAGTGCCTTGTGTCAACTGAGACGCGTCCTAAATAGCTAATTTGTGGTACAAGTGCTGGTGACATGCATCGAGAAATTCGGCCAAGTTTGTCTTTCGTGTTCTTCTCTGAAATCGAAACTGGTCCTCTTGTCGCCGTTGTTGCTCTTCCAGCCGCAGGCGCTCCAACTCCCGAACCTCTTGACGCAATCGATCAAGCTCGGATGACATAATGAACTCGCCACGTGCAGTAGTGAGATTGTTTCGTAAGTAGAGGACAAGATGAACGGGCGAGGCGACACATCGCCTTCCAAAGAAAAGCGTGGCAGTCAGCCGTGAAGTTGTTTAGGTTGGTAAACATGTACCAACCATTTTGGGCCTTCTGTCATTTCACGTGACCTGGTCTTATCCCGCTGCCGTCATGTTTTGCCAAGCCTTGGCATCAGGCGAGATTGTTTCGTCTCTCCCTTGGTGCCTGATTTCACCACGACAAATCAAGACGGAAGCATCAAAATGCGGCTGAAGGGTCATACCTGCCGAGCACGAGGTAGTTTGTGCATTCTCGCTCAAGCCATTGATCTGTGCTTGTCATATCCAGAAACAGCCAGAGACCTTTGCCTCTGACCACGGCCCAGGAACTCGGCTATTTCATCGTCTAACTCGATCTCTTTCTCAAGGATTCACGTGAACGAGCAGGGATGCATTTCATCGTGTCGACAAATGTCAAGAAGGCGGATGCAGCGACGCAGAGGCTCATCCGCAGCCAGGTGATGATGGGAAAAAACCGGGGCAAGTCTCTTCGTGCCAAACAACGAAGATCGACCAGCTGGGCCGTCGTGGTCGATGCAAAACGGGATCCGCCAGAGCCAGTGGACACGTTCATCGACGCATACCACTCAGCGAAGTCTTCCATACCAGGCAGAGTGGGCTCAGAGCTGTCCTCCATTACGCTTGCTGCTGAGCTGGACACAGCCGCGTTTGCTGATATCGGGAGATGTGGGCTGCTCACACTTGCTCTACGATTATGCCAGAAACTGACCCGATGCAAAACTAGTCTTCGACATGATAGCCAGAGCATTGTTCCCTCTAGTGTCGGTGACGGGATTTAGCCACGGGGATATGGCCTGGTTCGTTCCGCTCAGGTTCGACCCTGCCTATCTCCATGTAACAGTGTTCGCCGCCGAGGCTTTCATGGACAGGATACTAGGTCGGCAATATCCCACCACCAACCGAGACGCCACCGTACATTTTTTGAAAGGGATCAGTATCCTTCGCAAGAGGCTTTCTCTAGAAGATGAGAGCGGCAAAATTTCCAATTCTACAATTGCCGTGGTTCTGACCTTGGCCATAAGTGCATTTTTCATGGGTGAAGTGGAATCCTTCAAGCATCATATGGTCGGCCTTAGGAAGATGGTCGACTTGAGAGGAGGTATTGCTGCCTTTCGAGGGAACAAGCTTCTCACAGAAATATTCAGGTAAGCAACCAGTCCTTTTGCTCTCCAGCCTCCGTCGGCCTCGGAAAGACCTGATGGTGGTACAGATGCGACATAGGCATGGCTATGCAAAGCGGATCAGAGCCCGTCTTCTTCAAAGACCTTGTTTCAGAGCCCCTTGTGCCTTTTCCCGACCAGGAGATGCTGTCAATTCGAAACAGCACCGGCGGGGCTGGCTCTATGCGGAACTCGGAAAGATCGCTTCCCATGCTGGATGAGAGGCTCCATGAAGTCTGGACAGTTATGGAAAGATTCTGTTCAATTGTCAATCTTGCGGTTGAAACACAACTAATGCTCTCCCCGCAACTCCTATACGATACTATAGCTTCGGTCATGTATCGGCTTCTCCATATGAGCTTTGATAGTGGCTCCGTGGACGAAGCGGTACGGCTCAGCCTCCTGGGACTGACCCATCACATGTTCTTAAAGTGGCAGTATCTGCAGTTGCCCTATCTTCACTTTCCTTCTCTTTTCAGAAAGTGCCTTCTGAATCCCGAACTCATGAGTGCAGCTTCCCCTCAGATCATGATTTGGTTTCTGATGGTTGGAGCTGTTACTGCATTCACGACATCCGACCACTCATGGTTGAAGGAGTGTTTGCGACAACATATCGACCGGTGTCAAGTGACGTCGTGGAACGATATGCGGACAGTCTTGAAATCTTTCATGTGGATTGGACTGCTGCATGATATACCGGGGAAGGAGGTCTTTGATTCTGTTTTGTCATGATTATATCCTAAGACCCTACACAGCTAAAACGCGACACGGGTGATGATTTCCTCGACAATCCGGATCTGAGTCGACCCTTGGGTATGTAATGAACAACGAGCTACGTTCCATTGAAAAATTTCAGACTCCAGAGACCTGGCAAACAGCTATTTCACCCGAAATCGAGCTTCTCCTCGTACCTGAATCTCAAACACCATTGCTCGGATAGCGCAGTCGGAGGCACCCCGTCATTCCGAAGAGTTGGACGCACCTCTCCCTATGTCTAGAGAGATTTCGTGTTTCGCCCCGATTGATGAGGTTAGGGCTTCGTGATGTATGGACCATCAGAACATTCTAGGAAACACCCACTGGAAAGAGGGGATAAGGGGGAACGAGATCTAGTGTCGAAGAAATACTCCAAATGGAGCATTGGCTCTGGTCTGACTCGTGCGGTGATTGCATCTGCTGGATATGGTTGAAAGCCGTCTGACTATGTCAGATCTTGTCGATGCCGCCGTCTGAATGGGAAGGACATTCAAGAGGAAATTAGGACCGAGCCAAGGGACCTCGTCCGCACTTTCTGGGTGTCGAAGCAGGGACTCAGCTCGACTTGTCTTCGGCTTTGTCCAGTCGAATACGCCCAGCGGACGGTGACTATCGGTCATGCTAGTGATTGATAGAGAACCTGACCACCTCTCAGCTCGTTGTTGGTCACATGAACGAGCAGTTGTAAAAGAAGGCTGTCGACTGTTTTGAAGCGCCTTCTGAACAGTCGCCTCCTTGTTCACTTGCCTCAGGTTGTTGGACAGGAGAAAGCAGCACCGTTAGTCACATACGAACAATCTCCGTCTTTTACCTATCTTGTACCATTTATCCGCGTTCTCTTCAGCCTCGTATTGCGCCAGGAGTCCTCTTCCTGATGAATCAGTCACAAGTACCCGCTGTCTTCGCTCACATCAGAGTAATTTGTCCAAGGATTTCTCCTATAGAAACCATTAGTAACAGGCAGAGATATCGTGGGGGAAAATCGAGAGGTGTCATTCTATATGGTTCGACGTGGTTCTTATGAGTATGCTGAGATCTCAACCCTCGGATCTAAACACCTAATATCTCGTATTATGTATGCATATAGTTAAGCTACACGACGCGCCCTTTGAACATGTAGAAACTTGGTTGCCGCCGTTACATCGCTTTTGCGGGACATAAAGTTATTTATGTACACATTGGCCACTCGAAGTGCCGACCAATGTTATATACCCCCACATTACCTCAGATTACTCTTCTACTAGGGCTCCAATATATCCTCAAGTACTGTATAAGTCATTGAGCGAAACAAAACGGCTTGGCGCCTGTGAAGTGGTTTTTTCTTTCTTTCTCGTACTCGTGCCAAATAAGGCCCTAAAGGGGTCTGTTTGCCTACAAGTACCAAGTATATTACCACGCCTCGCCCAGCACCCCTTCATGATTTGGGACGAAGTGAATTACACAGACTTTTTCACCGAGAAACCTCTATTCCCCTTGGCGACTTCCGAACACAACAGACACGTTAAGACAGGAAGAAAAAGGCTGGCGAAAAACGAACCATGGCGGAACAGACAACATCAACGTACAAGATCCGGTACGCCACCGAGCACGACGTCCCCGTGATTCTCCATTTGATCCGCGAACTGGCCATCTACGAGAAGGCGCTGCACGAGGTGCTCGCCACGGAGCAGTCGCTGCGCGAGTCGCTCTCGTTCCCCGTCGACCCCCAGGATCTGGACAAGGGCTTTACAGAGGGCTACGCGAAGACGCTGCTCATCTGTCCCGTTTCTGCACCTTCAGGCGCCGGCAATAACGCCAGCCAAGAGGAAGAGGTCGCCGGCATGGCCCTGTACTTCCACAACTACTCGACCTGGCAGGCCCGACCGGGCATCTACCTCGAAGACCTGTTCGTGCACCCGACGTACCGCGGCCGCGGGTACGGCACGGCGCTGATCCGCGCCCTCGCCCGAGAGTGTCGCCGGCTCAACTGTCGGCGGCTCGAGTGGTCCGTCTTGAAGTGGAATACCCCGAGCATCGAGTTCTACCAGGGCGCGAGCGTCGGTGCCACGAGGATGGAGGAGTGGGTGGGCATGAGGGTCGAAGGCGAGCAGTTGGAGAGGCTGAGCAAGATGGTCGAGGGGAATTGATAAAAAGGCCAATGGGTGTGGTTCCTGGTCCTGGTCCTGGTCTGGTAGGGATGGGTGCTTTTTTGGCTCTTCTAGAACTATCACCACACGGTTATGGAAACGACATCTGTGGCATCGAATGTGGCATAGAACGGGCGCAGCAACTAGAAAGGTATGATAGGGGTTATTGATCAAGGAAGGTCAAGTACAATATGGTTGGGTTGCCTTAAGTTTGATTTCAGGTCTTTCAGTTCGTCTCAATCTTGTCGCACCCCATGGTGAACTCCTAAACGCCTGCACTGCCCGATTCCTGCACAAGTATCTAACTCCGACTTCCAACATGGCAGTCCGATCCAACAGGCTAGTTCTTTGTTGCTGCATTCCGTCCTCATAACCCGACCAACGTCGATCGATGTCCACAAATATCCCGAAAGTCCCGCACACGCTCTGGTCCGTTGTAACTCTCCAGCTCGGCGCTCACATAACCACACAACAACTGTTTTGCTTTTTGGCCTGCTGGTAGAATATCCGACTCTGCGCGCTCAGACCGTCACTCTTGGCTACGAGGGAGTCAATCTTCTCCCCTCGCTCCAAAACACTCTGGATCGTCTTGTGCAGCACAATCTTGGTCTCGTCCAGCTCCCTCTGAACTTTCATGATACTATCCGCCTGTCCCGGATCTTGGTATTTCACAATATACTCCTTAAGTGGTGGGAATGGCCTCGTGTTCGGAGGGTTCGTCGAGTACGAGGATCGCGGATTCTGCGCAGAATATTCGTCGATGATCTTGGAGAGGAGCTGGTGTGCGACGAGCGCCGGATATTCGCCGTCAGATATGATGATACCGCACAATCCAAGGCTGGTACTGTAGGCGTGGAAGGTGTAGGATTTCTCTTCAATATCTGCTCTGACACCGGGCTTGGTGCGTTCGGCCACCGTTTTGGCAAATACCGTCATGAATTCGCCATAGCTGATAGAAAAGCCGCGTGTCAGCACGCTCGAAGACGGGAAGAGGCGGGGTGAAGTTGGAAGTGCGGAAACCTACCTATCTCGAGTGAAGCGGGAGAACGAGGACAAGTCTCGCTCAACGGCAAGTTCGATGGCAGGGGCAGATTCGTTCCGGAGGATCTGGAGAGAGGTTAGCATCTTTCTGCTGTGGCCTGATCTATGGCCAAAGCCTGCTCACTCCGATGTAGAAGATCTTCATTCTGGCGGTGTGCTTTGTTCTTCACGGGGTGAGTGGTCGAGGAGGATCAAGTTTCTCGAGGTAAAAGAGCAGCTTGAAGGACTAGTGCAGCAGGAGAGAGTCCTCGGGTATGATTCTGCTATGAAAGATAGGAATTCGAGAGAGAGGGAGGGATGTTGTTTGTTGTTATGAAACGATAGATACGAATGAGTTCATGCAAAGGATCTCGGGGGAACGTCACAAAGTGTAGCGCCGGGACGAAAGGTCCCCGTTGTCTTTCTTTGTGCTTCGCGGGCGCCGCCCGCAGGTGCCAGCCCGCCAGAGCCCCTCCAAGGTTCATTCAAGTTTCAGCCTGGTGGCCCGCCGTCTTCACCCAAACCAATCAGCCTAGGCCCTCACTCAGGCCCCCGGAATACCATTGAGCCTATCAATGTCGCCCTCTGCTTAGTGCGAGGCTGCGGGCTTTGTGTGCGAGTCATCAGCAACTTAAAAGTCACATTTTCACTTTAACTGTCCTCTCGTATCAACATAGCCTTCCGAACAGGCTGCCACATTGATTCTCCTCTCTCTGTATATCCCAGAAGCTGTCATAGTTCCGCTTGTCCAGCTGATTGAAAAATGGTGGACCAAACTTTTCAATCCGAGGAACAATGGCTGGCCCAGGTGGCGGCCATGCGACAGGCGATTGCCGATTTGAAATTGCCATCCCTCAACGATGCGTCGCAAATGTATGGATCTGATCTCGATCTAGATGAAGAACTGAGTGAAGACATCGATGACGACATCTGGGATGCTGAGAGCGCCGTCGATGAGAGCCCTTTCACTGACGATGTCGACGACACGGTTAACGGGTTCAAAACTCCCCACCGCGCCACCAATGGTGTTTTTGACAAGACATGGCTGCGTTCCAAATGTGCTGCCTGGGCTCGCACATCAAGCTCCGGCATCGATTCCACCGACATCGAACATCAAATCACTGCTCTGTTGGCATCAGACAGTTCGGACGAGGAATTGCAGATGTCACTCGCAGATATCATTGGATTTGACGATCTTGACTTTGTTATTGAACTCATCTCTCATCGTGAAGAAGTTCTAAATGCCCAAAGTGCAACCAGTCGGCAAACCGATGGGCTTTTTGGGACGCTGGAGACTCGTGAAGAGCGGGAAGCGACACTCAGACGACAAGACTATGACCACAAACATGCTGCTTTAGCTCCGGCCTTTGACAGATCTGGACCCAAGTATCCGCATGTCTACAAGTCTGATGTCGCCGCCACGGGTAACATGTTGGATGTAGCTGGCAAAAAATATGCCCTACCTGCTGGCAGTACCCGCCATGACCATCCAAAGTACGAGGAGTATTCAATCCCGGCTTCAAAGGTAGGCTCTCTTGCTGCAGGACAGAAACTGGTCAACATCTCCGAGATGGATGGTCTCTGTCAACGTACCTTCAAGGGCTATAAGAGCCTGAATCGAATGCAGAGTCTCCTTTACCCGGTGGCATACACAACCGCCGAGAACATGCTGATTTGCGCCCCTACTGGTGCTGGTAAGACCGATGCTGCCATGCTCACAATCCTGCAAACGATTTCGAAGAATATCATTCCCAACCCAATTGAAGAGCCCAACGCCACAGACTTCATAGTGATGGCAGACGATTTCAAGATCGTCTACGTTGCGCCAATGAAAGCTCTAGCTGCCGAGGTGACAGAGAAGCTGGGCAAGCGACTGGCCTGGCTGGGCATCCAAGTGCGAGAGCTGACTGGTGACATGCAATTGACCAAGAAGGAGATTGCTGCCACTCAAATCATTGTAACCACACCAGAGAAATGGGACGTGGTTACTCGGAAAAGCACGGGAGACACAGAACTGGTGCAAAAGGTCCGGCTTCTCATCATCGACGAAGTCCACATGCTTCACGACGAGCGAGGTGCTGTTATCGAGTCCTTGGTGGCTCGGACAGAGCGCCAAGTGGAAAGTACGCAGTCACTGATTCGTATTGTTGGACTGTCTGCCACTCTTCCAAATTATATCGACGTTTCAGACTTTCTGAAAGTCAATCGAATGTCTGGCCTCTTCTACTTTGACGCCTCTTTCCGCCCAGTCCCCCTCGAGCAGCACTTCATTGGTGTCAAAGGTAAGGGAAGCAAGATTCAGCGCGAGAACCTGGACCACACCACCTTCGTGAAGGTTAAGGAGCTTTTGAAACAGGACAAGCAAGTAATGGTCTTTGTTCACTCCAGAAAAGACACAGTCTTGGCTGCTCGCACTCTTTATCAGATGGCTGTCGACGATGGATGTGCAGAGTTATTTGCCCCGGATGCCGACAATCCCGCTTATGTTAGAGCAATGGCAGATTTGAAAATCACCAGAGGCCGAGAACTGCGAGACATTGTGCCCAAGGGATTCGGATGCCATAATGCTGGCATGCCGCGATCAGACAGAAATTTTGTTGAACGAGTCTTCTCCGACGGCGCCATCAAAGTCCTTTGCTGTACAGCAACCCTTGCATGGGGTGTCAACTTGCCCGCCGCTGCTGTCATCATCAAAGGAACCCAGCTTTATAGTGCTGAAGCTGGCAAGTTTGTGGATCTTGGAATATTAGATGTCCTTCAGATTTTTGGACGTGCTGGTCGGCCCCAGTTCCAAGACAGTGGTGTCGGATACATTTGTACCACCCAGGACAAGTTACAGCATTATCTCTCCGCCGTCACTCAGCAACAACCGATTGAGTCCAAGTTCTCGCAGAAGCTGGTCGATAACCTCAACGCCGAGATCAGTCTGGGCACAGTGACTACCGTTCAAGAGGCAGTGACGTGGCTGGGTTACACCTATTTATTCATTCGCATGCGGCGGAACCCCCAAGCTTACGGTATAGACTGGAACGAGCACCAAGATGATCCTCAACTAGGTCAGAGGCGGCGCAAGCTCGTGATAGATGCTGCTAGAACGCTGCATCGAAGTCAAATGATCATCTTCAATGAACGGACAGATGAACTCCGGGCGAAAGACGTAGGTCGGATTGCTAGTCAATACTACGTCCTCCAGAGCAGTATTGAAATATTCAATACTATGATGCGGCCACATGCAAGCGAGGCGGATGTTCTGAAAATGATCAGCATGAGCGGTGAGTTTGACAACATTCAATCTCGAGACAATGAAGCGCAAGAGCTCCATCGACTTCGCAAGGAAGCCGTCATGTGTGAGATCGAGGATCCAAAGCTTGTATCCAAGGGCTCCGAAGATGAGAAAGAGCGGAAAGTCATTGAAAATCACGCAAAGACAAATATCCTGCTTCAGTCATACATCTCGAGGGCGAAACTTGAAGATTTTGCCCTGGTATCAGACCTGGCGTATGTGGCACAGAACTCGGCCAGGATTTGTCGAGCCTTATTCATGATTGCGTTGAATCGTGGCTGGGGTTATCAGTGCCAGGTGCTGCTATCTATGTGCAAAGCCATCGAGAAGCAAATCTGGCCTTTCCAACATCCATTTCACCAGTTTGATCTCCCGGTACCGGTTTTGAAGAATTTGGACGACAAAGCCCCCTCGTCGAATATTGAAAGCCTGCGGGAAATGGAGCCGGCTGAAATTGGAAGTCTTGTGCACAATCACAAAATGGGTACTACCCTGACGAAGTTGCTGGACAATTTTCCTACCATGTCTGTCGAGGCAGAAACTGCACCGCTTAACAGGGATGTGCTCCGCATGAGGTTATACCTCTACCCAGAGTTTGTCTGGAATGACCGTCACCACGGTACCTCTGAGGCATATTGGGTATGGGTTGAAAATTCGGAGACGTCAGAAATCTACCATCACGAGTATTTCATCCTGAGCCGGAAGAAGATGCACGATAATCACGAACTCAACTTCACCATCCCGCTGGCTGATCCTTTGCCTTCTCAGATATATGTCAGAGTTATATCGGATCGGTGGCTGGGAGCAGAGACTGTGCATCCGGTCTCTTTCCAACATTTGATACGACCAGACACTGAGAGTGTGTATACAGATCTTCTGGATCTACAGCCGCTTCCGATCACCGCACTGAAGAATCCAGCACTAGAAGAGCTCTATGGACAACGCTTCCAGTTTTTCAATCCGATGCAGACTCAGATTTTCCATACCTTGTATCATACTTCGAACAACGTCCTCTTAGGTTCGCCAACTGGTTCTGGGAAGACTGTTGCCGCAGAGCTAGCTATGTGGTGGGCTTTCCGTGAGAGACCGGGGAGTAAAGTCGTGTACATTGCACCTATGAAGGCGCTTGTTCGCGAGAGAGTGCAAGACTGGCGCAAGCGGCTCACGGTTCCACTGGGTTTGAAACTGGTAGAGTTGACTGGCGACAATACACCAGATACCCGGACCATTCGCGATGCAGATATCATCATCACCACCCCCGAGAAATGGGACGGTATATCGCGATCATGGCAGACCAGGTCTTACGTTCGTCAAGTTTCCCTTGTCATTATCGACGAGATACATTTGTTGGGTGGTGACCGCGGACCCATCCTCGAGATCATCGTGTCAAGAATGAACTACATTGCATCGCAAGCAGACAGCGGATCCATTCGTTTGGTGGGGATGTCAACCGCATGCGCCAATGCCACCGACCTTGGAAACTGGCTCGGGGTCAAACCCGGAAACAACCAAGGGCTCTTCAACTTCCGTCACAGTGTTCGTCCTGTGCCACTCGAGATATATATCGACGGATTCCCTGAGCAGAGGGGATTCTGTCCATTGATGCAAAGCATGAACCGGCCAACCTACCTAGCCATAAAAAACCACAGCCCTGACAAGCCGGTCATTGTATTTGTGGCATCGAGAAGACAAACTCGTCTCACGGCCAAAGATCTCATCAATTTCTGTGGCATGGAAGAGAATCCCAGAAGATTCCTGCATTTTGACAATGAAGATGATCTTCAGCATACCCTGTCTGCCGTCAAGGATGCCGCGCTCAAAG